TCTTGTATTTAATTATTCGTAAATAATTATTTTTGAGACTGCAAGTACCAGGAATCGAACTCGGGTCCTGCCAAATATGAAGCTCAGAATCAGCGCACCTTAACCAACTGATCCAAAGCCGTACTTGACTTTTTTGTTCGCATATTTTTGCTGGAGTTTTGTTTTAAGATAAATATGATGAAATTTATTTTGAAAAGTTCAACTCAAAATCTCATAAAGACACACACCAAACCAGATTTGAGTATGTTGTTTATATGGTGGTAAATAGTAGATTGATTGAGATAAAACTTATTTGGATTCTGTTCAAAAGCTTACCGCACAAATCAACAAATAATAGCTTGAGAGGAGTCCTGATTGCAATTAACTGATTAACTCGTCTCAATAACCAGGAAATCCATTGAGTAATTTGACAAGAATTATATTGCTTCCATTGAAACACTCGTAGTACTTCAGTCACCGCTAAATTCCATTACATCCATTGAAGCTGCATTTATACAGCTACCTTAAATGTATTTGAAATCCAACCTTGTGTTTGTTATTTAGCTATATATATTTACGTTGTTATCTATTTTTAGCTCTTGGAATGTAAATATAGTTAGTTTTGTTTACCGAATAGATACACTTGTTGTTTTGACCTTGTTTTTGCCGCGAAATTCAATTAACGGCAGTGTATCTACTCTAAATAAGTAGATACAGGAGCAAAAGCTTTTTTTTTGTTTCAATTCAACTTAGTTACTTTAGAAAGTCATATATATTTAAAGTCATATAGGTATTTTAAACATTAGGCATAAAGGTTTAGGGAAAGAGTCAGGTGGTTCATTGATGATTTAGGTAGCTTTTAACTAACATAACTGATTGGCATATACAAAATTTTTAGTCATAAAATCATGAATGTAGATAAATTTGTTGAATGATATTTTGATTGAATTTTAAGTGCACCAGATAAACGCAAACGTTATTTTTCACTAGATTAACGTTGTCATACATATCTCATGATTCGATTTATCACATTAGTGATAAAATTTTAAAACTTATTGTTAGTTTCAATGTAAGAGAAGATACAATAAATAAATGTATAAGTATTTAAAAAAAATGTTTAATATAAAAGACCCTAAATTCATTCATGGTTTATTTAATATATTTTATTAGGTTACCAGTGTTCTTAAAATATGCATTATGAATTTATTTTATTATTTTAAATGTTTTTATTTTTCAACTTTAAATTCAATAAAATTAACATGATTCTGTGTCATCTGCCAAATTGATTTTGTCTCAAATGTATTAATTTTTTTGAATTTCAATTGCGCTTTTATAGGAGAACTCTGTGATGTCATTAGAAAATCACAATGAAATCGTTAAATACATTTTTTTTTGTGTGGTAAAAAACTTGAAAGATGTCGAATTTTGTAAATGTCTTGTGCCAAAAACTTTTCTATTCTTCTGTCAGTCTTCTGTACAATTGGTAGGCATTGCAGAAAATCAAAAATTCTTTGGAAATTATTAAAGGACAAGCTATAAATAAAGGATAAAATACAGAGAAAACAATGAGTTGGCTGGCATTGCTGTCAACGTCAACTTGATCCAATTTTGTGAAAGTTCGTTAGATGGCAAAATTACTGCTGATTCAAATTTAATGAAAATAAAAATAAACAAAATAAACTTTAAAGTTTTTGCCGTACGTAAATATTTTTTTTTAATATACGTTTTGGTATTCTCTTTAAGGCTGTCACCGACACAATGCTGGGGGAATTGAAATCATGTTTCATGGAGGCTTACGATGATAATCAAGATGGCAAAATTGATATAAGAGAGGTAAGTATTGAGAAGAATACATGAAATATTTTGAACAAAATGAATGAAAAGTGCAGACAAATTAAAATTAAAAATTCAAGTGATTCAATCGAAAGGAATCCACTCCATAAAGCCACGTACTCTGTTACTGAGATTATGTAGGTTATGTACATGAGGCATGAGAAGAATGTGTATGTGAAATGAATTAAAATCAGAATGTATTGAACTGTTCAGAATTACTTCAAATTGTCAAAGACAAATCATTAGTGCTTAGGTAGTCACACATTACGAATACAAAAACTTTTCAAATTACATACACTCTTAGATCTTATTTGGAAGTAATTCTATCTATTCAGGCAGTAGAAGTTCCAACTTTGTTACGCCTGATTTTACACAATTTTCGAAATACTTTTTTGGCTGTTGTTCTTGTAATGTTGCTAAAATATTTATGGTGCAATTAGAATTTTTCTTTAGTCTTAGCAACTCATTGATGTGTAAAAAACACCTTCAAGTAAAATTCACAATTAATGAGAATTTAATTTCTCTAACCGCAGATAGATGCCTTCTTCTTCTGTTTATTTATTTTTTTGTGCTTAATTGTTTAGAAACTAATTTTCCACTTGACGTACTTCAATTGCGGTCAATTTGTTTAAATTTTTATGGACTCTAACAAAATATTTTTTAACCATAAATTTTGAACTTCTAGTCCGAAAAATGAATTTATATATAAATTAAAAAAATTCAGCACGTTTTAACTAATTGTTATTAATTAATGTAATTGCTTGCTACTATTTACGTTAGTATGAATGGATGCTTAATGCAGAAACATTATAAACAGAAATATGTTTAATATAAAGTTTAGAATTAGAGTACGTAGTGTGTTAGTATGGAGATTTCATGTAGTTAAAAACGGGATACATTGATATAGATATTAGATTATTGATGTTATTAATCTCACATTGATATTAAACAAAAAAAGTTATGTAGGAACTAGTGCTGTTCGTATTCGAATTTACAAAGTATTCGAAGAATCCGAATATTCGAATAGTAAACGAAGTCTTCGAAGTTGGAAATAAATTCGAATTTTTTGTAAATTTTTGTTCTTAAAGTCTTCGAAGTTTAAGTGCAGTGAAAAACTTCGAAGACTTCGTAAGCAAAAGTTGAAGTGAGAGCACAAAATGCAAACAAACGTGCATCACACAAGTTATTTGATGAAGGCATTTGCTTTGTTTTTTTTTGGTATTTTATGCCAAAAATTATATGTGTGTTGTTTGTAATGTTTGTTTTATTTTATTTTAAATATTTTATTACATATTATTAAATAAAAAATTTGCCTTTTACATAACTTATATTTATAATTTATATTAAAAAAATTATATTTATGAAAATTTTAAATATAATATAAAATACATATGTAAGAATATGAAAATATTGATATTTATGAATTTTATTAGTAATGGAAATTTTATAAAAGTTTTCATTTTTCCTTTAAAAAAGAAGTCACAAATTAAAACCTTAAAAATTAGTTTTAGAAAAAACAAGTTTTCCTCGTTAATGCAAAAATAAATTTGCGCAATAAAATTTCATGTAATTTTTTTAATATAAATAATAAATATAAGTTATTTAAAATGTATATTTTTTATTTAATGTAAATAATATTTAATAATAATATATATAATAATAAATTTTATATAATAAAATAAATTTTATATAATAAAATAAATTTTATATAATAAAATAAATTTTATATAATAAAATAAAACAAAACAGACATGTTTTTAATTTTCTGCATAGAATAACCAAAAAAAAAACAAAACCGTACAAACAAAGCAAATGCTTTTGTCCCTCAAATAATTTGTGTGATGCACGTTTGTTTGCATTTTGTGCTCTCACTTCAACTTTTGCTTACGAAGACTTCGAAGTTTTCACTGCACTTTAACTTCGAAGACTTCGAGAACAAGAGACTTATTTCCAACTTCGAAGACTTCGTTTAAATACGAATATTCGAATAATCGAAGAACTTCGGTTTTTAACAAAATTCGAATAATGTGAACAGCACTAGTAGGGACCACGTTATTCATAAGATAATGCCAAAAAGCAAAACACGGGAAATACGATATTCGGCAATCGGAAGACAATACTTTACCAATCTCTTACAGCACTTTCTTGTCTTTTTAAAAGTGCGTTATTATTTATAAATCACTATTTTGGTCACGCAGTTATAGGAACATTTATTTATTTAATTAAATTATTAGAATTAGAACGTTTTCACCAGTGAATTGAAAATCCTATTTTATAAATATAATGCTAAGAACAACAACGCACAATAAACGCATTTTAGGACCACACACTAACACATAAAAACAATAAAAATAAAGAAATAAAAAAATTTTTTGCTTAGCAAACAACAGTGCTCACATGAATGCCAAAACTAATCGAATGGGCAGTTATTTATTTCTGATGAGTACACTCATGGATTCACACCATTCGAGTTTATGCTGCGACACTGGCAGTCGATAACGCAAACACTTTGAATCATTTTTGTGGCGAATGTGAATGCGTATGAGTAGCTTATGAGAAAAATATTTATACGCATTTATACTTGGTTTTTATGAGTGTACTGTAAGTGTTAAAATTATAACGCATTCCGTTCTGATATATATATAATATATACACAATGTGTATATAGAGCATACATTTTTATGCAATATAATATGTATAATAACTTATATTAAAGTAATCACACTTTATAAAGTGTTGTCATTTCAACTAAAAATTTATTGAACACTGTAATTTTAATAAATTACAAAACAAATTTAATTAAACTATTGTTTTAAATTTTTGTTGTACCTTACAAGGTTTTTATTTTTTAAGTTTGACAACTTTGTTACTTGCGTTTAGGTTGTACCATCACCTCAAAACAAAACTTGGAGCACGAGCGTAGTATGCGATATTTTACCAACTGATCTATGTACAAATCTAACATGTACTTGGCATGGAAATCCATTTTAACGCTTTTATACTTCCTCATAATGACGTGTTTGATGGAGGCACGAGAAATTTTTACTTTCCTTTGAATCATCAACATAAGAGCTACATCAATCATTTTCTTCTGAAGACAACGAGTTTTCGCACCCAAAAGCCTTTCAGATTTGCTAAGGGGACGGGCAAACTTCATTAAACGCTTCCTTGGCTTTTTTTTACCACCTTTCCTATAGATCACTTTAGCCTAAAAATATATATGTATATTTAAAATTTATAATAAAATTTTCATGTTATTTACCATAGTTAGGATTCCTTAATTAATGAATACAAATAAATGTGATGAGTATTAGAACCAAGATATAGCCGAATATTGCAACTTCCACTTATCACCAAATTTTTTTATGAAATGAAAACAAATACGCAAGTAAAAAATATTGTCAAAAACATGTGACTTGGGTACTAGATTTTTATAAATATCATTTTCAATATAAAGTTGAAATGTCAATGATTGACAACGAATTCGTTGTTCTGCTTTGGCAGCACTGTTCTAGTGATACAATAGCGACAGTATATTGTGTAAATAGAATAGCAACAAAATTTAAATGTAGATATTTAGTTTAATACTATTTTTACAAGAATAGAAATAACCATAGTCTCGAAATGAAGTTTTCCAGATATCATTTTTCATGGGATAGAAATACATGAAAAAAGTTGGGCAATTCAACAGATTCTTTTCCATCTTTTCATTTGATTTTGAAATTGCTGATAAATACATGTAGTAAAATATTTTAAGTTGAAGGTGCTAATCCATCGTGTAAATGTGAATTTTTGAACACAGATTATTTTAACCAGTAATTTTAAACAAAAAGGCATTTAACTGAATGTAATATTATTTATAATTATTTTTAATAGTAAGTATGCACCATAATTACTATGAATACCCAATGAATTTTAAATCATTTAGGGGCTTATTATTACAAAGAATTTTAAGTCATATGGGGGCTGATTTTATCAATTCTATAATTATAGCATTTTTCTGGACATGCCATAAAGGTGAAGATTTTAAAATTTGTGCCTTTTGCAAATATAAAAGCAAAAAGCTTTTATTCTTTAGTTCTAAAAGCTTAAATAACACAACTTTGTTGATTTTTTTTTATTTATAAAAGGCAAACTATATTACCATATCGAGTCCCAAACCGCTCGATATATGGTTTCATCGCAAAATGACTTCTTCCACTATATCACCTTAGTAACTATTATAAATTTGGAGTCGATAATGTTGGAATTTCTCTATTTTCCGTGTTGCTATATGGTGTTCCATTATGTCTGGATATGTGATTAGACCATATTAATCGTTATGCCGTTATAAACGCCATATGATTACCAATTTGGTTGACATGAAATTGAATATTTTAAATATTTGAATATTTGAAATTAAATAATGTCACAAGCGAATTTGCTGGAACTTTGAAACTGAAAAATCTAAATGTAATCCCAGACTACCAGATAGTTGAGTAATGAAACAAGAATGATTGCCGTAAGTACACTAAACCAGCTAGTGTCAGAGTGTTTTTGGGGGAAAGAAGAAGAGGACGAACTTGAAAAATTGGTGTATTTCCAAGTTCAAAATACAGTGAGAATACAGAATTAAAAAGGGAGGCTTCAAATCATGTTTTAGGTTGGGCAAGTATTGAAAAATAATAATTTATTACCTAAATATATTAAAAAGTAAATATTGGTAAAAATTAAAAAAAACAATCAATTTTCAAACAATGCACTGCATATTGCTATATAATTAGTTTGGTTCGTTTTATTGGTGACAGATCTACCTCTTCTGTACAAGTGTAAAAATATTCTTTTAATATTCTAGAATTTTATGTTTCTTTACATTATTTTACATATAATATAATATTTTTTATATAAAAAATTGTTATGTCTTATCATAACAAAGAAATTTTCGACGAGAAAGGGGGAATAACAGTCCAAAAATAATGCTAAATAAAGGAATTGGTAAATTAACTAATTTATAATACGTGCAAATATTGTTTTGTGTCTGTTTTAATTTTAAAGGAAAAGAAAAAAATTTTTCCTTTAAACTTTATTAGATTTATAATTGTTTTTCGTTTCAAAATGGTATACAAAATAAATTCAGTGTTTAAATTAAAAAAGAAATTTATTAGTTTAGAAATCATTTTTATTATTCATTACTCAAAGCAATGGAGCCATTGATGAAAGAAAAAGTAAAATTATTTTTGTTAAATCAAATGTAATCATAATATTTCATCGAAAATTGTTGTACTCATACTTCAATTCAGATGAAACTCATAGCATCAGTTGCCAGATATTCTATATTAATGCGTAAGACCAATGCAATACAGCAAAATATTAAATAGAGAAAAATCATATAAATTTTAGTATTTTCTATTTAACAGCCTCTGAATAGCCAGCAAGCAATAAATTTTGTTAAAGTTAGCAGAAAAGCCAAAAGGGATTTAAAGTGATTTATGCTAAAAGACCGAATAAATGGCTTTCGACAAATAATTTTTCGCACTAAGTAAATTGAAGATACTTCTTACTAATATGCGCCTTATACTTTTTTATATATACATTTTTTCTTTGCCGATAACATAGAAAGAAAAGTACTTAATATTGCCAATTAAAGGTAACAAGAATTGATTTAGTGTTTTTCGCTTATAAGTTTATTGCATTAAATTAATAAAATGAAGTAAGCATTTGTAATAAAAAAAAAATGCTGTTTAATAAAATACAACGATAGGTGTTTTATTATTTTTATCTATTTTTGTATTTATTATTGCATCTATTTTTTTTTTGTTTTTGTGGAGAGGAGGTTTAAAAATAACTAACGCATCGTCACTATGTCATCACAATAGTGGTATGCCCGGTTTGCAAGAACTAAAAACAATCCCCCACATGTACCAGAACATTTCTATCCTGGAACTTTATCTGGAATATTTTAGGATAGGGTCCCTATGTTGGCTTTCCATTAAACGTTTTTTTTTTAGTTTTTCTTCGTTAGTCTGCGTCCAGGCCTCGGTTTTATATCTATTAAATATGCATTATATTTAAATAAAATTTGTTTTTTACGCGTGTTTTAATATGAATTATAGCATATATATTTTATTTTCAAACATAATTTATTTTTTATATAAAGTGTAGGAATTTAAAATTTAATTCATTTAATATTTAAAATTTCATTAAAATCGATTTCATCAGCTCTCTATAAAAACTACAAAATTTCTCATTAAAATGACAGAATCCACATAAAATCAAAAATATTAATATTATTTACATAAATGTGCATGTTGGTCATCTGCTTTATTATTAAAATGCAGTGTATCTCAGTTCATGACAACAATAAGTTAACAGCAACACATGAATGCAATACATGGTTATGGTTGATCATCAATAATGACAACACATCCGCAGTGCTTTCATTTTTTTGAGTACTTTTGATTTTTCAAAATTGGTTTCGTGGTAGTATTAATGTCAATAACATATTTTATTTAATTTATTCTTTAAATATTTTATGACATTATATTTATGTGTAATTTGTTTGTCAGCACTCTTATTAAGGTAGGTACAGACACTTAATTAATCTGCTAAACAACAGAACTATATTTTTATTTGGTGATGTTAGACAACTTCTCATATAAAGACTTCGATCTGAGCAATATACAATTATAAAGATTTATAAACAGTGAGAAACAAATAGCACTTGTTGTGGTTTTTTCTGTTTTTATACTTTCGAATGAAAATCTGACCACAAAGATACGAGTAGTATCATATTTTTTTATTCAACATTTTCTTATGTTAATATTTTTATTAAATATTTGTTTATTATAAAACTTATTTTCAGAGTTTTATAAACCTATCCCATGTTACCTTTTGTAACTTAGCTATGACGCACAGAGTGTCCAAATAAAAAATACTACTTACTAACTTAGTTGGCTATTACAGACGTGGGTCGTCCTTGGAGGCGTCGAGTAGCTTTCGCCAATCAGCCCGATTAGTTGCTTTCTGACGCCAGTTGCTAGTACCGAGCGCCCCTAAATGAAAATGAAATGAAAATTAGGCGATCAAAATTTGGCGTTTACTAAATCAGTAGAGATATTAAAATGAAATTTTCGTTATATATAGGTTTTGAAATGAGTGCAACTAGTTTAACTATTATCAGTCTGTTTGGTTTTATTTAATATTGCTAGCAATCTTTAAAGTAACATTTAAAGCTTCTCTAAAGCTTTAATCGTAATGAAAACTGATACTTCATACTGTTTCAATTATTTTTTGCGACCTTTTAAGCCGACTTGTGATTTTTTGATTATTTAAAACATCTCTCTTCAATAATTTATATTAACTCAAGAATAGCTAACTATAATGATACACGTTGTTAGTTTCTTTAGGTTCTTTTCGAAGTAATTTTTGTTTGTTTTAGAACTTAATGCTAGTTGTTAGATAAAAATATGTATTCTTTACATCGCTAGCTATATTCGTTTAGTAAGGAGGTTTTTAAAAAGTAGTGAACTACAGCAACAAAAATTCATTTTATATTATTTTGATTATTTGAATTTTTGGCTGACCATACAGCTGTTTCGAATATTGCACAAATACCCTTCATCAGTAATCTTGGAAATAATTCTTATATTTAATTATTCGTAAACAATTTTTTGAGACTGCAAGTACCAGGAATCGAACTCGTGCCCTGCCAAATTTGAAACTCAGAGTCAGCGCTTCTTAACCAACTGACCCATGCCGCCAAATTCGTTTAAGATATATGCGAGTTTTAATTCTTTATTTTTCGTGTTTATATTATATTATACTCGCATTAACAGATGAATTATAATAACTTGGACCACACATTCTACATTTTAGAAAATAATTAAATGAAGAGCAAATGACTGTTGAATAATGTCAACATTATTGTATTTTATTCAACAGAAACATATTTTTGATGACTTTTTTTACTGTATTTCAAATACAATTGTTTATTTTTAATAATAACATTCAAAAGAAAAAGGGAAGAACATTTTTTTTTCTCTAAAATAATGTTATCCAAAAACTTCGACGATAATTTTAGTATTTTTTTTGTTTCTTATTATCACTTCACTAAAAGTTGCTAATTTGAGTTTAATCAATTTTAAATATTATCAACATTATTGTATTTTATTCAATAGAAATATATTTTTGATGCCGTTTTTTATTTTATTTTAAATACAATTGTTTATTTTTAATAATGGTATTCAAAAGAAAAAGGGAAGGAAAATTTTTTTCCCATAAAATAAAGTCATCCAAAAACCTCGACGATAATTTTAGTATTTTTTGTTTCTTATTATCACTTCACTAAAAGCTGCTAATTTGAATACTTCTCTTTTGCCAAATTTAATAAACCAAAATTTACAAGTTTTCAAAGTAAAATTTTTAAAAATTCTATTTTTCATATTCCTTCTTTTATTTAAAATCATTGAAATATTTTGCAAGTTTTGTTGAATTTCCGCAGCAAATGCATTTGTTAAATTTCAATGTAATGCAGCACAAACCTTTTGCATAAAACTTTCTTAAGAGCATTACGCGGACTTATGCTGAGTAACGCAAGGATACTTAACACACCCAAGAAGGCCAAAACTTTCTTTTTGAAATAGAAAAGAACATTTCCTTACAATGGATCAGCTAAATTCTTAACGCTGAAAACTTGTAAGCTAAGAAAGTGGAAAACTGCGATAAATAAAAATTTATTTAAATAAGTAAACTTTTTGGTAGAATATTTAAAATATTCCTT